AAAAAGAGAGACAACATTGTCCACAAACAACATTAACATATAAGCAGTGTATTAGAAGTACTATAACAAAATTTATTTTATAAAATAGATTTTTTATTTCACCATCCAAGTATCGATAATTTTGCCAAATAAACTTGCCTGAAAAGATATCTTTGTTAGATGTGTCAATATATCACACAGTCGCACACATATTTATTTTTTACTTTCAATAATTTTGTCAAAGGAGGTCATATAATATCAGTCAGTTTATATTTTATTTGTTGTCACTTTCTTCCATTATTGAAATATAAAGTTTCTGTTGCAAATTTCTTTTGAGGCAGTTTTTTTTTCATTTCCTTCTTTCCCTTTTCTTGTTTAAATTTCAAGTTAGTTTGATTGATATTAGTATTGTATATTGGTATATGATGACTGTAATGTTATATATTTAATATTTCACGAGTTATTACAATAATTTGTTATCATGATCCAACAATGTTTTTGGTAAAGAATCTTAAAATTTCCTTTCATGGAAAATTTTATGGACACGCTTTCTCTAAACACATTCATTTAGCAGTTGATACATCTGGAAAAAATATTCAATAATAAAATGCTTTACATTATTTTATATGAAAATATGATATTCTATGATTATCAGTAACTTCTAATATATAATTTTTATTTTTTGCAGATTGTAATAATAAGTTAAACAATTCTTTAAATATTTTCGTTCTTTTATTTAATATAAGAAAATACAGTAGAAGAATGAAAATTCAGAAGAAATATCATTTTTTTTATCTTGTAAATTTGGGTATTAGAGAAGTAAATAAAATACTGTGAGTTTTGAAGAAGGCACAGTCTTAGTTTTGTTATAAACACATTGCATTTATTACTTCAATAACCAGTCCATTTCAGTTCTTTAACATGAACCAGTCAATTTATCTTGTTAACATTAATTTTTTTTCTTTTTAATTTTTACACCTCTGTACCATATCTACTAAAAATGTCACTTTAATAATTTATGTGACAGTTATTTTGATCCACATTACGTGAAAGGTGTTTTTTAATTTCTAAAGAAAATATAGTTTTACACACAATTAATTCTTTATTCATTTTTTTCTGTAGAAAATACTTAAAACAGAGTATAACATTATTCAAACTTGGTATGGGGTGGTGTTAACGGGATTTCCGATTTTATATAGAGTCGGATAAACTCCACCGTACACGATGACTGGCCATATTTGTCGGTGATAAATCTTGCCGTGTCGCATTAACCGCAAACTTAAATCTGTCAAATAAATATATCTGACATTTGATAGTGGATTTGGATAAAAAAAAACTGTAAATGTTGAAATTAAAGACTGTATGAATAAGCTGCACCTTTCAATCTGTTAGTTTTCTTAATTACATGTATTTCAGATGACTATAGTTTGTAATATTTTTATTGCTATAAACAAATATTTAAATATGACTTAAGAAACTTAGGAAATAAATACATTTTTAACATACATTTTTAACTGATGACCATTCTTTTTCACTGCTTTGAATTCCCATTCAATGCTGAAACTATATTGCATGTTATGGTACCACTGGTAAAAAAAATGTCTAAAAATTAATGTAGAAGTATATCAATTGATTAATTGGAGATTGAACAGTAAATGGATATGATTTCCTATACATTATTCAATTAAAACTCAATTTTTATACTATGGTTTATTTCCACTCGACTCATTTTCTTCAATTTTCTTCCCTCCCCAAATAAAATGAAAGAAAGAAAAGATAAAGAAAAATTTGTATTCAATATATTCTTAATGATCAGTTTAGGTAAGAAATAAGTTAAAAAATTTATGAGCAAAGATTTAATGGAATCTATACAGAATTATTTTTTTGTCAGACAATTATATTTTACTATTTCATAAAGTTACTGCATTCAGCTTTATTATTCTGATTATCAGGGATTGGAATCATTTCTACGAACTATTTCAACTTGTCCACCGATACTAGTAAAATTTGTTACGGGGCAAAAAAAACCTTAGCCTGCAAGCTCAGTCTTGTCCCCCTACCTGTATGACAAAAAACTCTGAAGTGTTTTTTTACTACACTCTGATAATTTATATTATAATGACTCTTATACTTTCAATTAAAATCTAACATACTCAGAAATTCTTACGTTTTCAAAATATATTTTACGATAAATGTTATCACGCCACCCACTTTCTGCTGTCTGTATTTTTCGTCTTATCGAACCTAATAATTATTGAAATTACACAACTCGTGAATGATTGATTTTTATTTTTTTTGTGAATGGATGAATGCTTGCAGATTAAGAATATAATTGTTTGTTCTCTCAGGCAAGTAAGGGGTTTTTAAGAGATGTTTAGGCACTGATCTCCCATGAACAGATCCTGAATTAAACCCAGTCTGCAATATTTAACTTCTTTTTCTTTCTTAATGCTCTTTAAGGAATCCCCTTAATTTGCCTGAATTTGTTAAATTAATACATAACAATTTTTCCTATATTTTCACCAATATCATAATGCATAAAGCCTAAGTTATTGTCTTGAAATTTATAGACAAAAATATTTTCATAGACATGCAATTATAAAATACAGATAAAAATACAATAAAAACAATATATATGCTATTCTTAAAACGAATTTTAAAAAGACTTTTTATGTTTAAATTAATACTTATTTTCATACTGGATAAACATTGATGATTTAGTGAGTTTATTTGAATGAAAAAGAAGAAAATATTTTAAATAAGTAATATTCCTGATTATGTAAGGACTAATTATTACATGATTAATATGTCCAGTTACCGTGATCATTTGGTGATTTGTAAATACAACATGCAGCTATAACCTAATTAACCTCGGTGGTTCTACTCGCATGCACGTTGATGCATGAAATAATGCATGGAGGGACGCTTGTAGTCTTCCTCCATCAGTAAAGCTGAAAAAAGAGCCATAATTATTACATTTACAGTGTTGCTGTGAAGTTAAATCCAACATCAAAACAGTATATAATATAATGATAATAAAAACAACATCTTCCAGAAGAAAAAGAGTTACGAATTAATGGAAAATAATGTCTTTTTGTTGAGACTGAGAATTTTAGTATAATATTTAGGTATCTTAAATACAGGTCAATCTTTAAGTAATGTACCTGTTAAAATTATAAATTTTAAGAAAAGTCATTTCACCTCAATTGCAAATATTCACATATTATTTGAAATCATACAATATAATATACTCTGGTAATGATATATCTAATAGACCTGTTTATAATAATGATAATTAAGTTAAATATATGATTTCTTATTTCTATAGAAATATTCTGTCTCCCATAGATAGTTGAGCTTGCTAACAGATGGTGCCCATTTTCCCTAAATCATTTCCCCCATTTTGTTATTACCAGACTCAATCATAATTTTAACGCAATTTACATAAAATGTTGTTATACGTTATAACTGCGCATCATATCAATATAAATCAGAAATTATTAATTAGTAGACACTATATAATGTCTGTTTAATGTATACAACGAGTTTTGTTCAAGTATTTTTATGGCTGCTTATTAAAACTAGTTATTTCTAATGTACGGCAAAATCTAAGTTTATATAAAAAGGAAGAAATTTCTTTGAACAGACGCTAATCAGTTTGAAATGTTGATATTTGATTCGTTTCTAAAATCTTTTGTGTAAAACTTGACAAGATTTGGTATAATAAATCTGCTAGGTATCATTCATTGGTGATAATATACTATTGAGCAAACTCACCTGAGCTTCGGAATTTTCAGCATGGAAACTTCAACTCTTTCTTCAATTTTGATATATTGCATTTAATTCAGTTTTTTCCTAGAAAAGACAAGTGTGTTTTGAATCAAATTGAAATTGATAACTAATGATGTGTTGTTGGAGAATATAAAGATGCTTTAGTTAAATAAAAAACCGGTTGAAATATTATCAATAATTAATTTTAATATGTTTTATAAAAACTTTGTATAAAAACATATGATATTTATCACTGATTATTTATGGTGTTTCGAATAAATGCTTTGTAATTATCTCAGCAGACACTCTGTTTTTAGATTCATACAGGATCAAACAAAGAGCAATATTAAAAGAAAAGATAAAAAAAGCGGGAAAATATGATGTATTTAATGATATATTGTTTACAAATAGTAAAACAGCATGTTGCAAACAGGAAATGTGCATATTTGATACACAGAAATAATTTATTTTTGGAAATCCTACTTATTTTAAGGATTTAATCAAAAACATTAAGTAATTAATTACATGTGATAAGCAGTTATATTAACTGAAGAAAATAAATCATATTGTTGATAAAAATATGAGCATCCTACTGTGGAGATCGTTTTAATTGTTCCAAAGTAACAAAATATACAGTAAGGTAAAGTAACTACCAGACTGACAATTGCAAGAAATCTTCCTTCCAACTGACTAAGAAAAAAAACCCAAACAAATATAGGGATTTATGTTTTACAAGGGAAATGAATCAGAGATAGTAAGACTTAATTTATAATCCAGTCTCAATACATGTCACAATGTATTGGAATGATAGCACATGCCAGGCTTTTTTCTCTAACTCTAACTATTTGGCCCCATTTCCCCTCGCCCATTAACCAATCAGTATCCTGTAGCTATCTCCCCTAACAGTAATAGGGCTGCCCCGAAGATGAAGGATTCAGCGAATGTGTTAGTTCCGTTATTGTTTAGTCGGCTGCCAGTACAGTAGTTTTGTGTGTGTGAGCCATCAATCTGTCAAGTGTCACCGTGTTAAATCTGACATGATATATGAGAAGGGCAGACACCACTATACAGGGTCGGCCAACTTTGTTATTAAATGGGTGATAATAGAATCAGGAATACCGCCACTTCTTAAGCTACCACTTGTGGCTCATTTTTGCATTCCTATAATCACTGATCAGTTAGCTGTTAGATTACAGCTAGTTTTCAAACAAGCCAGCCGTGAATACTGGTAGTTTCTGATGTATAATGTTTAACTAACACCTCTGTGTAGCCCCATCTGCCTAGTATTTATGAATGGATTGTATAGTACTTTCATTTTACTCTGGGACAAGACAAATTGTCCCAGAAAATCTTCAGTTGTGGACAAATCTCGGTTGTGAACGGACATACAGTATTATCTCATTTTCATAATTCTTGGATATATTATTAATGCCATATTACAATATTTTTGAATTGGATTACTTGAATTAGCCAATCAGAGTTCAGTATTGGAATAAAATTATTATAGCCTATATAGATATAAAACTGAACTGCTACAATTGTGAGCAGCATTGAGCTTCTGATGTTTTCACGTGAAAAAGAATCAATCACATAAGATTAAGAATCAATTAGTGTGGTAACAGTTTGACGGACAGGATCCGTTATATGTGACAGTGGACAATTATTAGTATTAATTAGTTTACCTTTCCCTACCTGCCTCAGGTATTTTGTGTAGGGTTAATCGAATCATGTAGGTACGTTATTAACTTGTCTTCAAGAAAAAAGATTCTCTACAACGTGTCTTCTGAAGTTATGTAATATTGAATGGACTGTAATCATTTATCACCATTTTGACCGTTTTTTCTGGTGTTTCTACGCATTTACCGATAATTGTATACATAAGTGATAATTAGTTGCAAAATAAAAAGATAACAAGGTTTGTGATTATTTTACGGCATTACCCAACATGAAGTCATTATGAACAACAACTCTGTGACAATTTCCTTTAATCATGTGGGATTCGTTAACGAAGACGTCCGCGGGAGTCGCGGGCTGTAAGGAATGTGAAGCGGCCGCTACGGGTTGTCGCTCGGGGTGTAGTTCTGCGCCAGTAACTGTTGAACGTGATAGAGAATTTCTGTGGATTCGTACCAAAATGCCAGTGTGTATATGGCCAGAGACATGTCTGTTAGGTTGCAGTGCAGCATTACATGAACATTTAGTAAGTTTCGAACGTTTTAGTAGGTTCTGAACATTCTCTCAAATTTCCAAGGAAATTCATCACATTATTAATTTCTTATACCAATCAATATTCAACTTTTCGGACAGGAACTTTTGTGTTACAGAAACCCTATCAAAACATTTCTGTCCACATTTAGCACCGTTTAAAAATTCATTAATTTATAAAAACTGCTTTGTTAATCTGTAGTGATGTCAAAGTATGTAATTTTTACATAAGTAACGATTGTTCGGAAAAAATTAGACAACCATGTTATGCACTATTTATGTACACGTATATAGTTAAAATAATTCAAAGTAAAGTTTGTTTTTGTTGCTAAAAGCATTTATTATTTTACATATTTTATATGAATATTTTAACGAAATTGAATTTTATTGATTTTGAATTTTGAATAATATAAAATGTATTCTAAAGAGTATTATTTTATACATGCAAGTCTGTAGAGATATTTTAATTGCGGCATTGTTTCATGCCAATTAGAAAGAATAATTATATTGGCTTTTAATTGGCTTTTAATGAGTTAATAATGTGTTCCTAATTAAAAAATGATACCAGATTGGTATAATTATTATTAGATTTATTGATTTTATCAAAAATTTAATTCTTTTCAGTTTTTCTAAAATTTATAAAAAAGGGTTTTATATAGAGCATCATATGATAAAGACAGGTGTCGCTGGCCTTTTTACAATTCATTGTGGCGCAGTGGGAGACTTCAATGTAATAACATGTAGAAGATATGTATGTTGCCCATACAAAGAAAAAAGTGAAAGAGAAAAAGAAAACATTCTAATCTAGTAAAATGTTACACAATAATGATTAATCATAATAATAATAAAAATGATAATGATTATAATTGGAAGCATTCTTTTTGGGGGTTAGAAGAATCTGTCTGTCTGAAAAAGAGCTCGTAAAAATATGAAAAACATGTTGTTGTTTTTTTTCTGTAAGGAAAAAATAAAATTCTTTGATGTTAAACTTAAAAATCAAAGGAATATCTATGTGCTACACTTATGTGAATTATGTATTAATATTTTTTGTTTTTTTAAATGAAACATTTTTAAATTTGAAAATAACAAAAATTAAAACATTTACAGAATTATTCCAACATTAACTAAGAAAATTCATAAATTAAATATTTAAGAAAGGAAAGAAAATCATAGAATAAATTAGATAATTTGATAAAGAAGTTAATTAACAGTACATTTATAGAAATATCAGTTTTAATTAATGAAGGATATAATGTATTTATGTGAAAATAATTATTATAAACACATCTTAAAAATTCTGTTTGAAATATTTTATAAATGGCAATTTGACAGTAGCCGATTTGTTATTTTAATGGCGTCTGAGAAAATGGCTAAATTGACGTAATGCTGCTTTTATTATGCCACCGCAGCATCTGCGATGCGGTGGCATATAGCGATTCACCTGTGTGTGTGTTTGTTTGTGTGTGTGTGTGTTATATAGATTATATAGTGAACTTAAAAAATCTTCTTGTGAAAAACCACTTGTCCAATTTCAACCAAACTTGGCAGGATTGATCCTTGGGTGAAGGGCTTCCAAAGTTGTTCAAAGAATTTCATTCCATGCAGAAATCTGGTTGCCATGGCAACCAAAAGGAATTATAAGAACAAATTTAAAAAATCTTCTTGTAAAGACCCAAAAGGCCTAGAGCTTAGATATTTTGCATAAGGCATTGTCTGGTAGACCTCTACCGAGATTGTTCAAATTATAACCCTGGGGTCAAAATCGGCCCCGCCCGGGGGTCATTGATTTCACTATATGTACATATAGTAAAAACTTAAAATACCTTCTTGTAAAGACCCAAAAGGCCTAGAGCTTAGATATTTTGCATAAGGCATTGTCTGGTAGACGTCTACCAAGATTAATCAAATTTTAACCCTGGGGTCAAAATCGGCCCCGCCCCGGGGGTCATTGATTTTCACTATATGTACATATAGTAAAAACTTAGAATAACTTCTTGTAAAGACCCAAAAGGCCTAGAGCTTAGATATTTTGCATAAGGCATTGTCTGATAGACCCTTACCAAGATTGTTCAAATTATAGCCCTGGGGTCAAAATCGGCCCCGCCCCAGGGGTAATTGATTTTCACTATATGTACATATAGTAAAAACTTAAAATACCTTCTTGTAAAGACCCAAAAGGCTGTGAGCTTAGATATTTTGCATAAGGCATTGTCTGGTAGACCTCTACTCAGATTGTTCAAATTATAGCCCTGGGGTCAAAATCGGCCCTGCCCCGGGGTCATTGGTTTTCCTTATATGTATATAGTAAAAACTTTATAGTAAAATAATTTCTTCTAGCAAATGCTAGAGGTTAGATATTTTGCATGAAACATTGTGAAGTGAACTTCTAGCAAGATTGTTCAAATTATAGCCCTGGGGTCAAAATTGCCCCTGCCCCGGGGTCATTGATTTTCAATATATACATAATTATAGTAAAAAATAAAAAAATCTTATTGTCTGAAGGTACAAGGCTTAGAGCTTGAATATTTGTTAAATGATATCATCTATAGGTACTCTACCAAAGTTGTTCAAATTTTGCCTCTTGTGTCAAAATAAGACCCGCCCCATGGGCCATAGGTTTTCCTTATATGTATATAGTAAAAACTTAAAAAATCATCTTCTCTAAATTTACAAAGGCTAGAGTTAAGATATTTTGCATGAAACATTATGTAGTGAACCTGTAGCAAGATTGTACACATTATAGCCCTGGGGTCAAAATTGGCCCCACCCCCAGGAGTCATTGATTTTCACTATGTACATATAGTAAAAAAAAAAGAAATATTTTTGTCTGAAGGTACAAGGCATAGAGCTTTGATGTTTGCTCTATAATATATTCTATGGGTTCTCTACTAAAGTTGTTTTAATTATGCCCCTAGTGTTAAAATTAGCCCTGCCCAGGGGCAGTGATTCTCATTATGTTCACATAGTAAAAACAGAAAATAAAACAAATCTTTTCTGAATAGGAGAAAGCTACAGCTTAGATATTTGACTTGAAATGTTGTTTGGTGGACCTGTATCAAGATTGTTTTGAATTAAACCCTTGGGTCCAAAATTTTGCCTTGCCCAAGGGGACAGTGACCTACTTTCTTGTCCTTTGATGTACAGCAATGAAATTTTGACCATGTGCACAGTTTTAGTTGTAAAATTGAACTTTGATATCAGGTGAACTAGATTTTGATGATGTGACCTACTTTCTTGTCCTTTGATGTACAGCTATGAAATTTGAACCATGTGTACAGATTAAGATGTTAAGTGAACTTTGATTTCAGCTGACCTAGATTTTGACAAAGTGTCTTACTATGTTGTCCTTTGATGTAGTCATGAAATTTAGGCTGTGTGAAATATGACCTTCAACACCAAATTCACTAGACTCAAGTGCATTGATATATTCCTACTCTGATCTTTTATTGAGTTAACAACAGATTTAACTAATCTGATAATAAGAATTAGATAGGTCAGGGATCTATGCATTATGACAATCTTCAAAATTGTATAGAAACAAAGAAAATCTGTTCCTACACTACTATTTAGTGTTGTATTAATGCGGTGGCATAGCATTTTTCTCAAATGCAATCTTGTTTGACTTGCCCTCTAAATTCAATGCTATCTGTCTAATATAGCATTATATCATGTAATGTTAAATTTTCATTTGGTTATAATTTATATCCCGGCTACATATTCTAAGTTACATTTATGATTACTTACTTTCAAAAGTCTTTCTTGTTTTGTTTCCCTGCCTCATACTGTTGTTTACTTTCAGAATTAATTTTTCCAGGTTGTTTTGTTTTGCTGGAACATTGATTTGTTTTGTTTCATTGAATTTCAAGTTTTTTTTCCAACCACTTTTAAGTTGACTTGTAGTGTTGGTCCCATTGTCTCAAGTAATTTTGTTTGGTTTTATTGCCTTTCAAATTGTTTCACTTTATTTATTTGCTTTTAGGATGTTTTGTTTCATTCCATTTCCATTAAAGTGTGTGTGTTTTTTTTTCCAGTTTGTAATGCCTTCAAATTTTGTAGTATCATTGCATAATGCCTTAAAGTTGTTTTATTTCATTATTTCTTTGTTTTGTTTTGTTCCCTTATGCCTATAACAATAGTTTGGTTTCATAATGCCACTATGTTCTTTTGTTTCTGTAAGCCTTTAAGATTTGAATCCTTATGCCTTTAAGTTTCGTTTCCTTATGCCTTTAAGTTTTGTTTTGTTTCATAAAGCCTTTAATTTTTGTTAAAGCCTTATATTTTTTTTTATAATTCCTGTAAATTGTGTTTTTTTTTTATGATTTGTTCATATTGTGCCATTGTCTTCGACCTTCCTGCTTCTGCTAGTTTTCTTTAAGTTGGTTTTGGTCAGGCTAGTGTTAGTTTTGCTTTGATTTGTTTCCTTCAACTTGGTTTTAGAAAGGTTTAGTTTATTTCTTTCAACTTAGTTTCAGTAAAGTTTAGTTTTAGTTCTGCTTTGGGCTATTGTAAAAGTAGTTGTGGAATTGCTGTAATTAATGTTATTCATATAAACTGCTATGATTATATGACTCCAGTTATAATACAGTATGTAAAATCAAGTTGCAGACCTTTGCAATTATCTTCGGTCCTAAAATAAATTCATGTTTCTGACATTCAAAAAATCAAGGTATGTATTGTAAGCCCACTTGTTGGCAATAATAGGGGTAATTAAGTTATGACCATTTTGTACGTCAACAATGATGTTTTCATATTGTTTAATTAAGCTATGGTTAATAAGACGTAGCTTCTGTGTTTAACCTTTTTGGTTTGTTTGGTAAGAATAATTATCTAGATTGTCCCGTCTTTGGTGGAATAGAGAACACAAAATATCTAACCGTTTTATAACTATAATTGAAGTTTATCACTATTGTTTATTGAATTATCTTCTTGGGTTAATGAACCGTTAGACCTGATAGGCTATTGCCTCTTAAAGAGACTTGACTGCAGGGAGCGGTC